AGATTCAAGGAGCACCTCTCAAAACATGGCATATTGCATCAGACGAGCTGTCCCTATACACCACAACAAAATGGTGTTGCTGAAAGGAAGAATAGACATCTCATGGAGGTGGCAAGATCAATGATGTTCCATACAAATGTACCAAAGAGATTTTGGGGAGACGCAGTCCTTGCTGCATGTTACCTCATTAACCGAATACCCACAAGAGTCTGAACGACACTTCACCATATGAGGTATTAAACAAAATCCGACCTGCTTTAGACCACTTACGAGTGTTTGGTTGTGTTTGTTTTGTATTAATCCCAGGTGAACAAAGAAACAAGCTCGATGCTAAAAGCACCAAGTGTATATTTCTTGGATATTCCACTATCAAAAGGGGTAGAAATGTTTTGACCCCACTACCAATCGTATCAATGTCTCACGAGATGTCAAGTTCATTGAGCATCAAGGATACTACACCTCTAAGGATTGGGATAGTCTTAAAGACCTGTCCAGATCACCTGGTGATCGTGCCACCACTTTAAAATTTCTCCTCGATCACCTCGGTGTTCCCTCTTCAACCTTGGGAAATACGAGCTCCTCATGCACCTCGGGCACTTCGGACCCTAACGGCCCATCAGGCACCTCAGGCACCTCAGGCACTTCGGACTCTAACACTGATAAAGAGACCGACCTCCACAGTCTGGAGAACACCCCAACCCAGGACAGTGAACGAGAAGCTAGTCAAACCTCCGACGAGGGCTTGACCCGAGCTGATCCAGAGGAACCAAACCGAGCTGATCAAGAGCATTCGAACCGCACTGAACAAAAGGACCCGAACCGAGATAATCAAGAACCTGCTCAACTGCTCAGAAGAAGTACAAGACTGATGAAACCCTCTCACTGGATCAACAAAAGAGTCTATTACAATAATCAAGCAATTGCTCATCCGGCTCAACTACAATGTTCTCTCGACCTCGTCCCTATTGAGCATCAGGCATTTCTCGGACAGATTGATCTCCACCTGATCCCTGACTCCTATGAAGAAGCCAAAGATAAAGAAGAATGGGTGCAAGCAATTGGAGATGAGAAAGAAGCTATGGAACGCAACCACACTTGGGATGAAGCCGACCTCCCACCAGGCAAAAAGGCAGTGAGCTCGAAATGGGTCTTCACAATCAAGTACAAAAGCAATGGAGAAATAGAAAGGCACAAAGCTCGCCTGGTCGCTCGTGGATTCACTCAGACTTATGGAGCGGACTATACTGACACCTTTGCTCTGGTTGCCAATATGAAGACAGTCAGGGTTGTCCTTTCCTTGGCTACTAACTTATCTTGGGAGTTGTGGCAGATGGACGTGAAGAACGCGTTTCTTCAGGGGGAGCTCGACGAAGAGGTTTATATGGAGCCCCCACCTGGGCTGGCAGAATCCATTGCTCCTGGCAAAGTCTTGAGACTCAGAAAGGCTATCTATGGTCTCAAGCAATCACCTCGGGCCTGGTATCACAAATTGAGCCTGACTCTTCGAGATCACGGCTTTCGAAAATCCGAATCCGATCATACCTTGTTCACTCTTCAAGGCCCTCACGGTATAGTTGTTGTACTTGTCTATGTGGATGATATCATCATCTCTGGCAATGACACAACATGTATTAAATCGACTAAACAATTTCTTAAGTCTGTCTTTGACATTAAAGATCTTGGAGAACTTAAATATTTTCTAGGGATAGAGATCTGCCGACTTCAAGATGGTCTCTTCCTATCCCAACGGAAGTACATTCTCGATCTCTTACGTGATACAGGTTTCGTGGACGCGAGTCCGGCCAAGACCCTCTTGAGGATGGTTACAAGGTCGTTCGAAAGGGGGAGAAATCAGAGGAGCCGTTTGAAGATATCTATCTATACCGGAAAATTGTGGGTAAGCTGATTTACTTAACCCTCACTAGACCTGACTTATGTTTTGCTGTGAATCAGGTGAGTCAACACATGCAAAAACCGACGGTTTATCATTGGAGCATGGTGGAAAGAATTCTTAGATACCTAAAAGGCTCATCGGGTCAAGGCATATGGATGGGAAAGAATGAAAATACCGAGATTGTTGGGTATTGTGATGCTGATTGGGCTGGAGATCGGAACGACAGAAGGTCTACAACGGGGTACTGCACGTTTGTTGGAGGGAATCTGGTAACTTGGAAAACAAAGAAACAAAAGGTGGTCTCTGACTCCAGCGCGGAATCAGAATACCGAGCTATGAAGAAGCTGGCCAACGAGCTCACTTGGCTCAAAGCCTTACTCAGAGACCTCAACATCGAAACTCCGGGACCAATGACTTTTCACTGTGACAACCAGGCGGCCATTCACATTGCAAACAACTCAGTGTTTCATGAGAGGACCAAACACATTGAGATAGATTGCCACAAGGTCCGGCAAAAGATTGAAGAAGGAACTATACTCCCCTGTTTCACAAGAAGTGAAGATCAGCTGGCTGACATCTTCACCAAAGCAGCAAGTCTCAAAGTCTGTGATCATATATACAGCAAGTTGGGACTTGTTGACATCACTCAAGCTTAATCTCACTCTCCTCCGACCTATAAGTGTTATACTCTTTTTCCTCGGCATAGTTTTTATCCCATGAGGTTTTTCTATGTCAAGGTTTTAACGAGGTAATGACTTATGGGTCTCCAAGCTTAGCCTATATTCTATATGGCTTAGCTTGAGGGGGAGTATTGAGATGACCAATAAAGATGTAGACTGTGTGAATCTAGGTGCGATCTCAGTATCAGCACCGAGGTGAGCATACGTCTATGTACATAATAAACTGGCCGAGGTAACCAGATCGTCAATGGAGCCGAGGTAAAATCAATGAGCACGGTAGCAAGACCGAAGTGAATAATGAACGAGGTCGGGATGCCATTCAGCCCAACCCGATGTAGAAGGATATGTTTATGTCTAAGAAGGAGACATGAGAAGACAAAAGAGATAGTGAAAGAGCCGTTAGAGCCTGACGTATAAGACCGTGTGGTCAATATAATGACATGTGACCTTAGCGTTGTTCAAAGATAAGGTCATGTCACTCTCAACATTTAATGATCTATGTCAGTGCCCATATTGTCTCGGGACTGACATAGAAATGTCACTTTCTATTTTTGAATTCTCATTGTCTATCTATATATAGACATAGATGTAACCTTGTAATAGAATATATGGATACAAGTTTCTTTTCCCTTCTCTCTCTCTTCTGCAATCTCATTCTCTGTTTCTCAAATTCTAACATTAGTTACACCTGTCGTAGCTGTTGTCACTCGATATTGCAGATCCTTTGGAGGAACAGAGCTTGTTGGTCTACCACCTCTTGATGAACCTTCACCATATCGACGATCTGTTCTTCCTTTGTGGTATCGGTAACTCTCTCCTATATGTGATTGTTTCACCTCCTCTCTTTGATAAAAAGCTTCCCTTTACCTCTGTTTCGTCCGCCATGAGAGTGACTGGAGTTCACGTTCTTTCCTATTTCATGCTTTCCAGTGCTTCCGTGAACCCCGTTTGGACCGTAAGTAACCGCAGTTTTGTACGTAACAGCACCTGAGTTGTGTTTGGACTTATCGTGGTGATCCTCTTGCACCTGTCGTTCCATAGACTCTGCTCTGTTGGGACAGATCTTCTGATCATGACAGAGGCTGTAGCAGATTCTACAATACCCAAAGAGTTTTTCATACCTCAGGAAGATCGTAGTTTCTTCTACGCCATGGAACTCGACCACTGTTTCGAAGCATAAAGGCTGCAAACCGTTAATCATGATTTGTACTTTGCCTTCGTCCAAATTCACTTCCTTGACGTCCAGAAATGAAGTGGTACACTTATGACTCTTACCCAAAATATGATCGCCCAAGGATACGAAGGATCGACAATTGGTGACCAGCATACAATCGAGAGCATCCAGTAGTCGAAGTGGAAGGACTCCATCTTCATGACTTCCTTGATGTCTTCCTCACTTTCAAAATCAAATTGAAATCTTCCACGTCCCAAATCCATACCAGCTACCTTATCCTCTACCTTCAAAATCCGTGGCAACATATACAAAAGCATCTTCATATCTTGCATTGGTGGGTTCATGCACCTACCAATCAAGGTCATGGCATATCCTTCTATGAGCTCCGAATTGTCAAAGTGAGGAACCGTAATTTTCATTCTCTTTAAAGAGACCTCAACCTTCTTTCCTGCCGTGATGTGCTTCACCAAATTGCTCTGAGATATTCTTTGATACAGTAGATAGATCTCGAGAAAGAGAGATAGTATGAGAGAAAGTTTATGATGTTGTGTTGGATGAAGAAGACTTTCTTCTCTTTGCCTCTTTATATAGCCTTTCATCTCAATTAATTTTCTGATACTGGGAGGATCGCTTTTTTGAAAACGTGGTTCACCATTTAGATACACCGCTATCATTTTTGGGAAAACTAATCTTTGCACGACTTTTCTTGTATCAATCCCCATGGGTTCAAATCTTGTTTTTCCATTTCCCGCAAGTGAATTCCTTCCCATCATCGTATTTGATTGAGAATCTGTGGAGATCCGATTTGAATCCTCCCTCATTGTTTGTCCACATCCAAACCCGACACCCAGACTGTATCCATTGAATTGCAGATCGTTACTTTTCTTAGTTCTCTTCGAATCCATCATATCACAGCGGATCCACATAACTACCGTAAAGGAAATACAGATTCCATGACTCACCTTTCTCTCGATTAATATCAGACGAGATCTCAAAAGAGTAACTCTGATATGCCAACCCATCGCTATTACACTTCTAAGATCTACCCACCGAATCAATTGAGAAATCCATATCAATCTTCCCAGTATTACCGATAATAGATACCATAACCAATCCATTCTTCTATTTCCTTCCAATAAAATTCTTCTTTGCTATCACCTCTACAAAGAGAGTAGTTCGTGTTTTTTTTGTTAATCAGACTTTCATTAATTGAATTTTTTAGATGAAATCTTTTTAAAAAAAATTAATCTAGGTTAATCTTGTTCATGTATCTTCCTTGTTTAAGAAACACACTACTAATAGTTATAGTGATCCTTGAAACAACATGAATCAAATGAAGTTTTTTTTTGGAATGTAATTGCCATTAAAATAATTTTATATTTTCTTCATAATAGTTATAAGGATCAAAAAAAATATTTACCAATTGCACAATAGATGCCCAAAATGTTTTCACTCTCTATGGTATTAAATATATTGTTAGTTATTTTTTCTTTGGATCAGTTGATTGCTTTAATTACTTGAAGTTGACACAAGATCTGAGCAGGGTTGATTTATCTAACACAAGAACAATGAAACACAAGATCTTAGCTAGCAGGTGTCACCCTTGATTTCATACTTGCTTACATGGATTAAACAACTAACAACTAACAACTTGGGCATTGATCAAACTCTTAAAGTGATGCTTAAACATGGAAAAGTTCATCATTACACCCAATGCAAAATGTTATGCAAACTATATGAAACCTAAGACTTGATCTAAACATGTTATGCAACTATACGAATCATTTTTAAAAAACAAATTCAAAATTTTTGATTTTTTGTGTGTTTTTTATGCCTTAAGTGAATGCATGAAATGTATGAGACTCAAGATGATAAAAATTGAAAATAAGATAAAACAAACATGATTGGGTGACCCAGGGCCGGTCCAGAGGTAAACCCCGTGAAGTAAGTGTGTAAACATTAATTTTTGGGACAGCCAAAAAAGCCCAATTTTTTTTTTTGTAAGTGTGTAAACACACTTGTCCCACATCGCCCAACTACAAAAAAAATGGGAAAGAAAAGTTGCACTATAAATAAGAGTTATTATCCTTTTATTATAAATTAATATTTTTAAAAACAAATCAATCTTGGGCTTATAATAATCGATTCTGGTCTTTAAAAAGTCGATCTCAAGCTTAAAAAATTAATTTTAGGCAAAAAAAGAATTTTTTTGATTAAGGGCATCATGTTTACGGTCATTTTAGGCGTCAAATGACTTTGGACTGGCCCTGGGGTGACCATACACTCTCCTCCACACTTAGACCACATAGTCCCTTGTGTGATAAAAGAATGAGAAAGAGATAAAAATGCATACAGAGAAAGAAAACTAAATGCTTATTTACAAAGTTTGGAGTGTTACCTCTGTAACTAAGTGATGGACATGACCACATTGAGTAAGAAGGGTTGCTGGACTGATTTGATGGAGATCTCATGGCATCTCTCCTAACTCTTTATAACCAGAACCGATCATCTTCTCTTTGCCATATGAACTAGAACCCACAATCTTCTCTTTATCTTTTCTTGGCAGTGTTGGTAGTGTCAAATGTCCTTTTCTTCTTGCCATTGTGCATATACCAACAAAATCTCAAACAAAGGAATGAGTTTCCAAGAAAAGATAATATCTCTATGGTTTTTAAAGAAAATTTTTGCTTGTAATGAATTCAAGAGTGGAATTAATAGTCATGATTAAGTAAGAACAATTCATGAAGTTATAAATTCAACCAAGAGTTTTTAACTCAACAAAGATTTCTTAAAAATCAGAAATTCAACTCAAGAACAATAAATCCAAAGAGTGAGAATCCAAATCCAAGAATCAAATAAGCACAAATGAGTTCTTTCTTAACTGATTCCATCCTAAATCCCAAGGATCTATATCAGTTTAAGCAATGCATCAACAATTTCAAGAAAATTTCTTCAAAAATATTTCAAAAACACATCGATAATTTTCTTAGAAGATGATATGCAAGATTTTCAAAACGTTACCTTGGGATTGAACAAGATGATGCAAGAAACTATTTAGACTCAGAAAAGAGAAAGAAAATAGGTTTCTATGCTAGTGTAAGCAAGTTATACCAAAGAGAAAATCGATTTCTTTGCAAAAAGGAGGAGAAATGTGTAAAGAGATAACCCATATTGGTGAAGATAAGGCTCCTTTTGGGTGGTGTGGAACAGCTGGATGCAGTTGGAGCCTTGACTATGACTGAGCCACCCTATGAACCACTGGTAAAGGAGTTATGCCACATTCATATCAGACAACTTTCATCTGATATGTTGGTCGCAATATCTTTGCAACTTTGGACCTCTCCACACCAGTCTATGGCACCGGTCACTTCCTCCTCGATATGGCTTCTTGTTAGAGGGACTTGGCCAAATTGAATGCCCACACCGGTCATGTTTTAGGCGGTGTAGAGGTTGAAATTTTAACCCCTCTACACCGGCCTATATATCGGCTTAACTCTGACCGATATGAATGCTATGGCCTCAGCTTATTCCAACTCTTCTTGACTCCATTTCCCTCAGACCAACTCTTCTTGACTCCATTTCCCTCAGACCAACATCTATATCACTTAGATACCTGAACACATTTAGCACACATTTAAAAAAATCATAATAATTATAAAAAAGGAGAGAATCAAATGAGTCACTAAATTTGACATGCTAATCATTTTAGGCTTGGAGAGGAGGAGTTTTGGAACTCCTGGATTGTCTTTGAGCTTAAGATTGAGAACTTGCTCATAACCTTTTCTAGACCATTTGGACCTTTGTCCTTGAAGTACTCCTTTGGATTAGCCATGGCATAACTTCTTGTGTTCATACACTGCAAGAAACAACACCCAACTCCAAGAGAGGTTAGTAAACAAAAAGAAAAGAATGCTTAATCTCAAAAAGATCTAAATTCTAATGCTGAAACAGATCCCAAATGGCAACAACACCAAATTGATGTTAGGATTTTTAGCCTTTAAACCAATTCCTTAAACATGCTCATGTCATTGCAAGACTAAGGTATCAATCCAAATAAGATGATTCAGACACTAGAGATATATGAAACTAGCCTAATCCAAGCCAACAAAAAAAAGATTATGATTAAACTAAAGATTAAAGATCAAACTAAACAATGAAGTGATTAAACAAAAGCAAACTAGCAACTTAACAAGATGACTCAAATAGATGAAAAGATAAGTATCTAGGTGTGATCATATGGATTGGGGTGCATTCAATGTTGATCCAAGTTGTCATTGCACTACTGAGGTATCAATCCAAGTGAGATGATTCAGACACTAGAGATATATGAAACTAGCCTAAATCTAAGCCAACAAAAAAAAGATTATAATTAAACTAAAGATCAAAGATCCAACTAAACAAGTGAAGTGATTAAACAAAAGCAAACTAGCAACTTAACAAGATGACTCAAAAGATGAAAAAATAAGCCTCTAGGTGTGATCAGGGATTATGGTGCATTCAATGTTGATCCAAGATGTTACAGAAATCAAGAAGACATTTCCTTTGGCTAAGAACTCTCTAATTTCAATTAACTCATTCTCATGATGATAATTGCCAGGTTAATTAGCTAATCAAGATCTAATTTTCATTAGTAAAAAGACAAATCAACAAGCATTACTAACAAGTTATAACTACCATTTAATGATTCAACAAGCATTTCATGTGAAAAATATATTAAATTCTCATTTAGTTCACTCAAGCATTGTATCAAACACTTTTTGTGCATGAAATGCCTATGAACCCAGATTTCACTTTCTCAAAGAAATCTGGCATTAGGAGCAACTAATAGAGAAAGGAAAGAAGAATCTAAACCCTAATCATCAAGGATCAAACACTACAAGAAAACAACGTTTTAGCGACATCAAAAACAGTCGCAAATCAGTCGCTAATCTTATATTTACGACTGATTAACGACTGAACCAATAGCGACTGTTTTGTGACTTCCTTACGATTGACGACTAAATGACGATTGCATTGCGACTATTATTATCAATAGAATTAGAATTTTGTATTGCTATTGATAATGCTAATTTGGTAATTTGAATTCAATTGTTAATAATTGAACTAAATTGTAAATACATTCATTACGAATTTTAAAAGCATATGAAACAAATAATTTACAAAGGTAATACATTGTTCACAAAACTAAGAAACTTCAATGGTTACCATATACAACCATTGGAGATAAGTTCAAAATGAGGCTAAAAGAGATGAGAGACCTATGGTTTGAGAGACATAAAACTTCACCAAGACCACATTCTTCTTCCTTAAATGATAACAAAAAAAGTCAATGAAAGAGTTAAAATTCTTCTTCCCAAGACTTAAAGGTTTACTGATTGAATACTAACATAAACAGATAAACTTACAATTTCTTGTTGGATTTGTTGATAAAACTTCAACCCTGATAAGTGCACGTGAGGGCCAAGAACTACAAACACAGAAACAAAGCAAGCAAGCAGTTAGAAGCATAAATCATAACAAAGAAAGAGAAACAACTGGTATATGATAATGTGATGCACATGTTCCATGGTCATGGCTGCATGTGCGTTAACTCTTGCAACCATTAAAACGGTATGGTGATATAGATTTGACTAAAATCCACAGCCAATGAGGATTACATAAACAGAAATGTTCAACTAGTAACACGATTAATTGGATTTTTTATACACCTACAATTCCCCTACTAACCAAGTTCCAGCTAATCAATGTAGCCAAGCTTCACAAGCAATGCAAGAACAGACATACTACATCACTTTGAGCTCAGAAAAGCCTAAAGTCCAAATTCAAAATGAAGATGAGAATTCTGACTTACTTTTTATGACGCCGGCTTCTCCCCCCAACACAGCTCGACCATTAGGTGGAGCCATCCTCCTCAGCTCAGCTCTCAAACACTCGTAACCAGGATTGTTCTTGCTGCCTCCTTTCCAAAGTAACCAATCAATCTCCTTAGCTGATCCCGATTGGATTCCTCCGTCTGCAGCTGAAAATCAAACTCCATAGCCTTCTTCAACCCTTTGCACTTGGCGTTACGACACTTCCTCGATCTCGGTCGAGAGAATAGCTACTAAGACAAGGTAAACTAAGCAAAGATAAACCAATTCTTCTCTAAAACGCCTAAACACCCAGCAAAACAGCATTAAGAATTCTGAGATTCATACCACGTTGTAGAGGCGATGGAGTTCTGATGACGGAAGGAGAACCGCCGCATGTCCTCTTCGTTGCGACGGACGCACCTCCTCCTCCTTTCTTCCTTACACGGCCAGCCCTCAGAGATTAGTGTTTCTCACAGAGATTAGTGTTTCTCACAGAGATTAGGGTTTTGAATTTGGGATTAGATCGAAAAAGAGCTTAGAACAGAAATTTAGGGTTTCAATCGATTTGGGAAGCATTCTCAGCAAAACAGATGTGAAAGTGGAGGAATTGGAAAGAGAATTTAGAGGAGAAGGAAGGAAGATGATCGATTTGAGAGATATTGGGTTTAGAATCGAGTAATTTTAGAGGATTTGAGAGAGATTATGATTTCAGCTAAATAGAGAGGAAACAAACGTCTAAGGGACAAAAAACTAGAAAGAGGAATCGAAAGTGGGAAAGAAAGGGGTTTAGGTATAATAAAAAGGTCGTGGTCGTACAAGAGTCGCAAATATGGTCGCAAATGAAAAAATGGAGGGATCTCTTGCCGCTTGATATTTCATAAAAATTTCATAAAATTTGAAACCGTAGCAAATTAGTTGCAAAAAGAAATCGCAAATAGGAAACAAGAATCGTAACCACTAAACTGTTATAATAATTCATGCATTGGACATAATGAAATTTATGTATAACTATATACTCTGCAATAATAAAAAATGCAAAACTTATGACATCTTATTTTTTGATACAAACATGCATGCTAATTATATTATAAAGATATAAAAATTACATTAATTAGAGTATTATAAAATCAGAAGTATACATATTTACACATGTACATGTAATTAGTTAATTATAATATAAAATAAAGGATTCATAATTTTAATAACTTTTTGATGAAAGAACATTAACAATTAACAATGCGACTAATTTGCGACATCTAACTGTTAGTCGCAAAAAATAAATACAACCAACCACAAAATATAATACACGTGTTTTAATTTTTGTGATTCCCTTGCAATAATCGCGAAGTAGTTGCAAATTTCAGATTTTTTTACGACTACAATTTTGCGACTACAAGTTAGTCGCAATATAATCGTTAATCTGCGACTATATTGCGATTGTCTGTATTTGTCGCAAATTAGCGACTAGTTTACGACTATTTGTTTTTGGTCATAAAATAGTTACAAATTAGTCGCTAATTGTCGGGACAGTTTGCGACTGTTAAGGTAGTCACAAAATACAGTCGCTAAAATGTTGTTTTCTTGTAGTGAAAAATCTAAGCACCCTAATCTACACACCCAAAAGCTTAAAAAGGAAACTACTCACTAATCATATTTGACACTCTTAATCCTTTACAAGATGATGAGATATTAAGCATGATTAAAGAGATAAGAAGAGAAAGATAAGATGAAACAGAACTTAAACTTGCATAAAACTAGAAGATTCTCAATCTCTCCAAAGGAGAAAGATTTCTTAGGAGAAAAAGAAATAAGAGATGAAATTAGGGTAAAGAAGCTTATATACTAGGTGTTTTTGGTTTGGGTCAACCCGGAACAAACTGAATTTTGACCCAATAAGCTGTCAAAAGAGGTTGCCGCCCTATTCACGTCGGACAAGATATGGTCGATATCTAGACAGGTGTGGAATGAAGAGCTGGAGGAAGAGTCCATATCGATCAAGATTTGGCCGGTGTGCTTGGTATCTTGGTCAAGATATGATCGGCGTTTTGATGATGAATATCGACCTGTTTGCACTGGCCTGACACAGTCCAGTGTAGGGATGTAATCTGGGGAGCCTTGAGAGTTGATATCTGGCATCGGAAGGCACTGGACCGGTGTAGAAGCTTGTGAAATCTCGCATCTTCGCAGCTTGGTGCTAGGTGGATAGGCGCTTGCTAGAATCAATGTATCTCCCGAACACTTGTTAGAATGACTCGAGACCATTTACATTGGAACACTGACTCAGTTGTCATCAACTATTCGTAAGAGCTCGGAAGCTGAGTCGAAGTTTAAGCCATCCGTATATCTTGATCTTTGAGATGCCGTTGCATTCATATCAAACTAAAATGGTCTGATGTGTTGTCCGATGTGAACATGATACCTCCACGTTTTCTTGATCAGTTTCACGATCTCCTTTGCTTGTCATGCACTGCTTTCCATCCCCATTGTCTCCATGTCTCCTTTTAGCCTTCATAAGCACCTAATAACACTCCAAATATGCAAGATACACTTGGACCTAATGCAACTTCTTATTTAAGCTAAAACAAAAATAAAACATTAAGGAACCTATCTGTAATGCATGCATGAGACACTAAACAATGCTTATAGTGCATGTTAAACGAGTAAAATTATGAATATATCAACTGTATCCCAACTCAGGATCTTCTTTCTCGCAATCTCTGTGGAAATTATAGCTCATTTATGGAGATAAATAAGTCTTCCACTGAAGAACGTTCTTTGTTCTATATATTAAGGTGGAGAATCGGGAAACAGAGAAATGAGATGGTCTTTAACACCAAGCGGTGGCCATTGCCAGATGTGATTAACAAGGCTTGCTAGACTGGAGATTATGGGAGGAAGCAACAACGTCACATGAGCACATAGTCTAACCGCATAATTTTCTTAGTGAGTGGAGACCAAGTCATAGACGTGCGTCACACACAATGCAAGATGCTTTGAATCAGGTGAATAGCCTCTGCTGTTTTGTTGATGCTTCATGTTTATCACCAAACCATATGGCTGGAGTTGCTTGGGTCCTTTGTAATAGAATTAGTAGAAAGATAGTGAGATTATGAGTTGTTCCTCCTACTTAATCATCATTGGAAGCTGAGGCTGAAGCCTTATGATCATGGCAGTTATCAGTATTAGATGACTTGGATATGCAGAGTTACATTTTGTGGAGATTTAAAAGCCATGTATGGATCCCTGCAACAACAACAACAGAGTTTGGAATAATCGCAAGCATGGAGGCACTTTCCGATAGGTGTATATCTTTAAAATATTGTAAGCATTTCAAAAGCTTGAGATTTTTCTTTTTTAAAAAAAAAAAAAAATTGATAGACTTGTCAATGCTGAAACTGATCAATTAGCTAAGGAAGTTAGATGTGCATGATCCGAGTGTAAATTTTGTGATGGAATGAAGTATTTGGACGACAAAAAAAAAGATAAGATGCCAATTAAAAAAAATGAAACATAAAATCCAATAGAAAAGGATAATTTATTTTATTTGTTGGGTATTAAATAATGTTGTTCTGAATGTGTGAATTATTGTAGTGTCTCTTTGTTTACCTGTATCTGGATGTGTATATGCCTCATCCATGTACATAATTGTGTATATATATTCAAGTGGGTACACTTTGTCTTCAATTAGATCTCAATTCTCAATCTTCAACTTGCATACGCAGAAAAAAAGAAGAAGAGAGAGTGAATAATATTATCGTGCACTGTCCTTAATTCGAAGCTCCTCGTAGATCTTTGTTCCAAGTCTCTCATTTTTCACCCAATCTTCAGTGGTAAAATTTTCAATTTTGCCTTATTTAAAATCATGTGTGTTCGTTTAGACAATAGTTTAGTAAACCTTTGAGTAGTCCTCTGATTTTTCTCCATTTGATGGTCTCTTATCGGTTCTTGGCTTAGGGATTGAATCAATTTACGGCTTAAAGATTGCAACTTTTTAACCCTTAGAGGAGCTTGAGGTCTAATTTCATGGATTTCAAAAAGAAACAGAAACTTGAAGCTGCAAGTGGAACCTTGATTTCGAAAAGATCATCTTGATGTCTGATTATGTCTCTGATACAACAATGGATATGAGCAGAAAGACTATAGTTTGGTTTAGGAGAGACTTAAGAATTGAAGATAACCCAGCATTAGCCATTGCTGCACATGAGGGATCTATATTGCCTGTGTTCATATGGTGTCCTGAAGAAGAAGGACAGTTTTTACCAGGAAGGGCTTCAAGATGGTGGCTTAAACAGTCACTTACTCATTTAAGACAATCCTTGAAAGCACTTGGAGCTGAGCTCACTCTCATCAAAACCCATAGCACCGTTTCCGCAATCTTGGATTGTTTACGAGCCACAGGTGCTACGAAACTCGTCTTCAATCATCTTTACGGTAAGATGCATAGAAAGTTCAGTGTTTTGATAGAGTTTTATGAAGCTCTTGAATCTTGAATTTTGTCTCTAAATAGATCCAGTTTCGCTTGTTCGAGACCATACCGTTAAGGAGAAACTTGTGGAGATTGGGATTACTGTGCAAAGCTATAATGGAGATTTGTTGTACGAGCCATGGGAGATTTACAGCGAGAAAGGCCAGCCTTTTACAAGCTTTAGTGTCTACTGGAAGAAATGTTTAGACTTGTCTATTGAATCTGTTTCACTTCCTCCTCCTTGGCGACTGATTCCAACAACTTCAGGTAATAACATTGGTGGTTTCTTAAAACATTTTAGAGTTTGTGAGACAAGTTCTTGAAAGTTTTCTTTTGTCAGTAACAGCGACTTTAATGGTGGGGACATGTTCAATCGATGAGCTCGGGTTAGAAAACGAAGCAGAGAAACCAAGCAACGCGTTGTTAACCAAGGCTTGGTCACCTGGTTGGAGCAATGCTGATAGGATACTAAGCGAGTTCATCGAGAAGCATCTCATAGATTACTCCAAAAACAACAAGAAAGTTGCAGGAAACACAACCTCTCTGCTTTCTCCGTATCTTCACTCGGGGGAAATAAGCGTGAGACGTGTTTTCCAATGCGTTCGGATGAAACAAATCGTTTGGGCAAGAGACAAAAATCTCACCGGAGAAGAAAGCGCAAAGCTTTATCTAAGATCACTAGGGCTAAGAGAATACTCACGCTACATCTGTTTCAACTTCCCGTTCACTCACGAGCGTTCTTTATTAAGCCATCTTCGTTTCTTCCCTTGGGACTCTGATGTCGACAAGTTCAAGGCGTGGAGACAAGGAAGGACAGGTTATCCGTTGGTTGATGCAGGAATGAGAGAGCTTTGGGCTACAGGATGGATACATAACCGAATAAGAGTGATTGTTTCGAGCTTCGCGGTGAAGTTTCTTCTTCTTCCATGGAAATGGGGTATGAAGTATTTCTGGGACACTTTGATGGATGCAGATTTGGAATGTGACATTCTTGGTTGGCAGTATATCTCCGGTAGCTTGCCTGATGGCCACGAGCTCGACCGGTTAGATAATCCCGAGGTAACACTTTCTTATTCGATACTAGTTTCGACAAACCTAAAGCTTACTGTTTCAAGTTCTTGATTCGAGGTAACTCACTCTTATTCGATACTAGTAGCTTAAAGTTTCAGAGTTCTTGATTTCTTGATTTCAGTTACAGGGAGCCAAATATGACCCGGAAGGAGATTACGTGAGACAGTGGATCCCTGAGCTAGCGAGGCTACCAAAGGAATGGATTCATCATCCGTGGGATGCTCCTGTGTATGTGCTTAGAGCCTCAGGTGTTGAGCTAGGTAGTAACTATGCTAAACCCATTGTAGACTTAGACACAGCTCGGGAACTTCTTGCTAAGGCGATATTGAGAACGCGGGAAGCTCAGAGAGTGGTCGGGGTTGCACCTGACGAGATTGTGGTGGATAGCTCTGAAGTTTTTGGTACAGAGAACGGGAAAGAAAACGATATTTGCCAAACTGGCCGCTGTAATGATCAACTGGTTCCATTAGGTGTTCATCAGAACGGTTCCAAGAGATCGAAAGCCGAGTCTTCTTCTTCTTCTTCTTCGGCTGCGGTTAAAAGACAGAACAGGAGCACGAGCTTTTACTCGGTACGAGAACCACAAAACCAATCTTGTTCGTTAAGGTGTGAAGGGAAGAATTTGCAAGATATTCAAGACTCTTCTTCTGATAGAATTACAAGCTCAACAAAAGATGTTTAATTGGAAAGAGAACTCATATTAATATATCTTTGCAACTCTGTTTATTGTTTCATGATCAACCATAAACTTTCGAACAAAAAAAAAAAAAAAAAATCAATCATAAACAGAGTTACAAAAAGAAAAAACTTTGTTTAATGTTTTTTTTTTCTTCCCATATTTCTGTTTGTTGGTTTTTTTAGGATAAAAAAACCCCTTAAAATAGATCAGTTTCTAATAAGTATTTTTTTTTTTTTTATAACAGTTTTTTTTCCTTCTTCTCAATGTCGAGAAAACGGATGATAAAAAAGCAGGAGGGCTTAGAGTAATTTAATAAACTGTTTGTTGTTTTGCATTAACAAAAGGAAAAATTAAAATATCAATTTCTAATAATTATTTTAATAGAATTATATTAAACTAATTAAGGAAAACGTCATAAAAGTAGGATAGTTCGGAAAAGTAACATTAAACTCTAACAAAAAAGATGTGATAAAAAAAATATCCTAACAAAACGCGATAGTTCAGAAGGAAAAGAAAAAGCCAGAAAAAATCTAAACTACAATCTTCTCCTGAATTTTCTCCGGTTCAGCTTCACCGGAAAGCTCCTCAAGCGATTTTCCCTTAGGCTCCGGAACAAGAAACGTGAGAAGCAAACCAGCAAAACTGATAGCTGCCATGATCAGTAACGTCTTCCTCATCCCCACAGCCTTAACCAAAGCAGCAAAACCGAAAGAACCAACAATCGCACCGGCTTTACCAGAAGCCGCCGAGATACCGTGACAAGTCGACCTAAGTCTCGCCGGAAAAATCTCAGCCGGGACAATGAAAGTAGTCGCGTTAGGTCCAAAATTGCAAAAGAAAAATGTTAAAGAGTAGAGAACAATGAAACCAATTCGGTTCTCCGGCAAGGTCCAATGGTGGTACGGTATAGCTAAACCGACCAAACAAGCCGTCATGAAAAAGAATCCAATGACCTGAATCTTGAACCGTCCGATCCTGTCGATTAAAGCAACGGTGAACCAGTAACCAGGAACCGTACCACAAAGAGCGATTAAAGATTGTGCCCTAGCGATCAAGAAGAGCTCTTGGATTGCGTTCATGGTTTTCGGCGAAGGTAACCAACCAATGGTGGTGAAGATATCCTTCTGGAACAAGTTTTGGCTGTAGAAAGCGATGTCAAGGAGGAACCACGTGGTGGTTGTTCCGAGTAAGTGTTTTCCGTGACGGCTGAGGAATTTCTTGGAAAACAAGCCAAACTCGTCTGAAGAAACCCTAGCTTGGTCATGCTTTGCTGAAGAGGCTTCAATGTCTACGTTGAGAACCTTAGACATATCAGAAGCTGCTTGTTCAGCGTTCTTGGCGATTAGAGCAGTGTAACGAGCGGTTTCAGGCATCTTCACACGCCAGTAGTAAGTCAAGAGAGCTGGTAAAGCTCCCAACATAAGTATGATCCTCCACACGTAATCTGCTTGAGGAACGGTGGAGCCGGCCGGGTCGAGCATGTAGGGTTTAGAAGGAAACTTGAGCTCGAAAATATACGAGACAAGCAACGAAACAGCACCAGCGGCTAAGATCCCAAACCCTTGCATAGCGAAAACAGCTGCTATAAACGCACCACGTGTACGTTTGTTAGCGTACTCGGACATGATCGTAGCCGAAAGTGGATAGTCACCGCCTATGCCAAACCCTAGCCAGAACCTGAAGAAGCAGAGAGTGATCATGACGGTTTTTGGCTCGGTTCCAAAGGTGAGACCAGAGCAGATGGAGCATAAGGTCATGATCAAGAGGGTCAAGCCGTAGACTCTCTTACGGCCAAGCTTGTCACCGAGAAACCCGAAGAAGATCTGTCCAAGAAACGTTCCGGCAAAGGCTACACCGCTCACGGCGGCTGAGATGCCGTCAGGGAGGCTTCCGGGATTGGAGGAGCCAGGATTGTGATAGTAGATCCGGCCAAGGAGCTTGGTGACGAGAGATATCACGAAGAGATCGTATGAGTCTGTGAAGAAACCCATACCGGAGATTACAATCGCTGTGATGTGGTACCATTGAGTCTTTGCAACGTCGAGAGCTTTCAAGATGCTGCCTTGTTCTTCGTTAGCCATGTCGATTTGTTTTTCTCTTTAACTCTGAAAAACCAAACAAGTGAAAGAATTGTTACAGTATATATAGAGAAAGTTCTTGTACCAAAAAAAAAAAGGAAACAAGATTCTAGTTGGATTAGGAAAATAAAAATCTGACTATCAACAAACTACTCCAAAACTTAGGAATTCGAGACTTATTAAACTGAAAATATTGCGATAAAAGAGATTTTAAACACAGAAAGATCATGGCTTGGTTTCTCTCATGCAACATTCATGGTTCATTATAACAAACTAGTTTCCGTTTTGAAACATCTGATGATAGTTTTAATGAATAAAAACAAAAAAAAAAACACATCTGATAGTAGCTGCAAACAAACATATGTATGAGTTTATTTAGAAGGAATGAAGTGATTACCAGCAAGGGATTAGAATCTGAAAGACTCGTTTTCTCTTTAGCAGAAAGACTCTTGAGGAATGATCGTTAGGGTTTATATAGCTTTATATATATAGAGATAGATGAGGGCACAATAGCATATTCTATTTGGAAAAGGAATAGAATTATCGTACGTGTGGAAAATTAGGAGAATAATGCCAGAATTTAGTGGTTTTGTTTTGTGAATAAATCTATTAATCTAACAAATTTTTAAAATTAAAATCATTATAGTTTAAAATATATCTTCGGAAAGATCTCTTGACTATATCCGATAGTAAAAAAGATTGTAACTGAGAGAATATTCCTTTTAAGATAGTTTAAAAATATTAGTCTGAGTTTCCAAAGAGCGGTGGAAATCGAATAGAACAAAAATTCATTAATACAAAATTAAACCAAATTAAATATTAAACTAAATTCGAACCGAATTCCAATTTTATAAAAAAAAAAATCAAGTCTCAATGGATTTTACTAGGGGTCCTCAATTATATCATTCTTGTTTAGATTTTTGGATTATATATGAAAAGATTAATGTTATAACTTAACTAAATGCTATATATTATATAGAACTAAATTATATTCCTACAATCTTCGAAAAATTACATCTATTCACTGTATATAGTTTAACCAAAACCCAAACCATAATGTTTTATTTCGGTTCGATTCGGTTTTTAGAAAATTAAACACTCCTATTTTTCTGGATAAAAGTCATAACAGATTTACCCATAGTTTCAGAACTTTTTTTTTTTTTTTGTCAAAGATCTTCAGATTCGATGTATGTAAGAACCCAAAACTGTTACATAATTTAGCATGAACTAAGTAAGGGGTCTTGCTAGACGGGCTCATTGACTTCAATTTCATAACTCTTTCCACAAATACTCCTAATATGCTTAAACCTTTGTCTATTTTCTCTAATTTGTGTGCTAATTCCTTCTGATCAAATGCTTTGTGATCTGAGTCACATCTCCACGCAAAAAATAAAGCTATGCCTCAACTATTTGAAAGGTCGGTTCTCTGGGTTTGGATGAAAAACTATATTGGAAGAAAGTTTGATAGAGAGAGAGAGAAACGTTCAATAAAATATTCTGTGACTTTATTGAATGAAAAAAAATTACATAATTCCCCTTATTTGTGAGAGGAATCTGGTTTACACGAATTAAACCAATGTTAAAATTACAATCAAACCGAATCGGTACTCTAATAAAAACCCTCTAAACCAAAGAACAATCTCAATCATACTCTCATCTCATGAACAATGATCGATCTCTCACTTGGGACTCTACACGATTTAGATGCAGAAACTCCTTCATCGCGTTGGCTCTGCTAACTCCTGTTGTGAGTATCTCTATCTTGACGGCATCAGAATAGCGAAAGCCAAGATTATTACTTGAATCTGAATCTTCAGTTATTGATTCCACAGTAGTAGTGATGTTTGGTTGGTACTTTTGGGAAGTTTCCATTCCAATCTTTGGACTAATCGCATCTTGTGGCATCATCGTGGAGAAAATCTGGATTATCTCCGTAGTAACAAAGTTCCCTGGACGCAAATATGCAGAATCCTTGTCAAACTCTGGTCCAAATCTCTCGAAGAACAAGCTCCTTATGTATTGAAGCTCCTTAAGCTCCCCGATTCTTGATGCAGCAAATATAAGTCCGGCCATTGCTACTTTAGTTTCTTCCGGTAAGAGATGAACATCGCTGGAGAGAGAAATAGAGAAAACAGAAGGAAATTAGGGTTTGGAAACGCTTTTAGATATTCAAAATTTTACCGTGTATCACAAGTTAACAAGAACAGCTTACCTTTGACGTTTTAACTGAGAAAAATTCTGCAAGATGAATGAGCAGAAGTAGTCGACCTGAGCATAGGCGGCTAACCTTGTCTTGTCTTCGAAGATATGCTTCACCTAAACCGAAAAAAAAAAATTAATTAGCAGTGATCAATATTTGGATCAACTAAGCGAGGATATATATATATATATATATATATATATATATACATGGTGAAATAGATAATCTCAAGATACCTTATGAATTGTTTCTTGAAAGCGACTGCTGAGAAGAAGCTCATCAATATCAGATTGTGTATGTCTAATTATACACTCTTTTCGCCTTTTATGTACTTCGATAGAACGCAACAGAGCCTTGATATGGAGTTTGCTGCAAATAAGAGACAGATTTTTAAATTGTTGAACAAGAAACGAAACTTTTTATTGTGTAAGGGAACGGAACAAAGATTCTTACCACTTAGCAGCTTTCCACCATCTTGAAGAACGAATCAAATCAGCAAACTTGTTATCGAAGCAGCCAAATTTTGGTTCTGTTTTTTTCTGAAACATCTCAATCTCTGACTGCAATAGAACGATCAGTTCTTGTGATCTTCGGCACTAAGGTTTAAAACGATACAGGTGAATTGTAATCTGAATAAATTGCAACAACTTGTAACGTCAAAAAAATATATAAGAAACTAACTTGTCTTTCCTTTTTCTTGGAAAGGAAATGTTAATCTGCGGGAAAAGGTTATAATAGAGAATAATCCTTTTCTTGATTGTTTAAAAATAAATAATCGAGTTTCATTGGCGGTGGCATCCATTAATCCAAAATCGATGGTATTAAATATTCTAGTGGTAGATTTTTTTTCTTTGTTTTTTTTTACAAAAAGACGAAACTAAATTCGAACGGAATTCAAGTTTTGTGCAGCTGAACTAATAAACAGAAATTTGTTACATATTATAGTAGAAAAAATATATTTGATTATTTTTTTGTTAAAAATATATAATTGATTATACTATGTTTGTAAATTATTATTGATTATTTTCAAATAAGAAATATTTTTGTTTTCTAAACCCAAACATAGTTCCATATCAAAATAAAATATGGATTTTTTGTACCCTTTCTCTAAAATCTAATAAATTCTAAACCAAAAAACAAAAAAAAACAAAAAACTGAACCAAATCGAAAATCGAATGTCCAGACCTACTTACAGCAATTATATCTGCAATACAGAAATTAATCTTTTATCTTGGGTGAAGTTTTTTTCATCCTGTATATGAATATACGATAATTATTGAGTTTAGAATAATTCAGTACAAGATGAGGCTCTATTTCAAGAGCAAGGAGTCAATAATTAAAAGATTCAGGCCGATTGAAAAATAAGAAGAAGGTTCAAAAAGATCCAGTAATCAAAGATGAAATAAGGCCTTTACTTTGGAGAGATGAGGCTCTTTTTCAAGAGCAAGGAGTCAATTTCGAAAGATCAAAAAAAGAAATAAGTAAACTCATAGATATTTGCGGAACATATATATTTCTTAATTATAACAACATAACTTCAACGTCAGCAAACAATGAAAAGAAAACAAAACAAAACATCGCACTCCAAATAATAAAATTAACAAAACAGAAATATAGTAGGATAATCGTCAGAAATCATTGACTAGTTACATCGTGATCATTTCTCAGCCTCAGTCTCACCAGAGAGTTCTTCTAGGGACTTGCCCTTGGGCTCAGGAACAAGGAAGGTGAAGAGCATACCGATGAAGTTAATGACACCAAGCATGATCAATGAGTTCTTGACTCCAATGCCCGGTGGGTATCCCGCGTCCGTCTTGGTCTTGTCCTGTGGCTGAGCCGCGTAAAGGAACCCAAAGGCTCCAACGATTGCTCCAGCCTTACCTGTTGCGGCTGATATTCCGTGGCATGTGGACCTTAACCTAGCCGGGAAGATCTCAGCGGGGACAATGAAAGTGGTTGCATTTGGTCCGAAATTGGCAAAGAAGAAAGTGAGAGAGTACATAACCACGAATCCGATACGGTTGTCTGGTTTGATCCAATGATTGTAAGGGAAGGCAATGGCAAACATGAAGACAGTCATCATGAAGAAGCCCATTAGCTGGATGGCAAATCTTCCCATGATATCAATAAACGCGACGGTGAACCAGTAACCAGGAACAGTACTGCAGAGGGCGATGAGAGTCTGAGCCCTAGCAATCTTGAAAACCTCATGGATGGCGTTCATGGTTGATGCTTTTGGGATCCATCCGATAGCCGAGAAGATATCCTTTTGGAACAAGTTTTGGCTGTAGAAGGCAATGTCAAGCAAGAACCAAGTGGAGGTACATCCGAGAAGGGGAAGACCATGACGCTTAAGGAATTCCTTGGAGAACAAGCCATAGTTTAATCTAGGGTCTTTAACAATATCCTCAGCTCTTTCCTCCATTTCAAGCTCAACTTGTAAGACCTTGGACATGTCTTGTGTGGCTTGTTTGATGTTCTTGGCCACCAAAGCGGTGTACCTAGCGGTTTCTGGCATCTTCATACGCCAGTAGTAGGTCAAGCCTGCGGGTAAGGCACCAAACATGACGATGATTCTCCAAATGTAATCAGCTTGAGGAGGTGTTGAGAGAACCCTGTCTTCCGCATATGTCGGAGATGGGAACTGCTTGTCGAATATGGAAGAGACAGCAAGTGCCACAAAACCTCCGGCCAAGATACCGATACCTTGCATGGCGAACACGGCAGCGATGAAAGCACCACGGGTCTTCTTGTTAGCATATTCAGACATGATGGTGGCAGAAAGAGGGTAGTCACCTCCAATACCAAATCCCAACCAAAATCTGTACAAAAATCGCTTTCTATGTTAGTATATATTATATATATTTTTAAAAAGATGTATCCTCAAAACATTAAATATATGATGATAATTGTACCTGAAGAAGCAAAGAGTGGTCATGACACCCTTGGCTTTGTTACCGAAGGATAGACCGGAAGCTACAGAGCACACGATCATCATGATCAAAGTGATACCGTAAACTTTCTTTCGTCCGAGCTTGTCACCGAGCCATCCGAAGAAGAGCTGGCCCATAAGGGTCCCGCAGAGAGCCACACCGTTGACGGCGGCCGCAACATGAGGAGGAAGTGAGCCAGGCTTGTCTGACAATGGATTGAAGTAGTAGAGGCGGCCAAGGAGCTTGGTCACCAAGGAGACGCAGAAGAGATCGTATGCGTCTGTAAAGAAACCCATACCGGCGATGACGATCGCCGTGAAATGGTATAGTTGTGTCTTTGCAACGTCGAGTGCCTTTAGCACTCCTAGTTGTTGTTCAGCCATTGCCTTGAGCTCTATGACCAATAAAAAGTCATTTGTAAGTTGTAAAGATACGTCTCCTTTGTATGGAAAATATAAAAAATCATTTGTAAGATTTTTAAAGATTATGGTACGTTCTTCTTTGTATGAAAAAATAATATTTGTAAGTTTTTTAAATATTTTGGTACGTTCTCGTGATTAATATTTGACTTCTGTATGGCCAAAATTATGTCAAAGACAAAATAGTGAGAAAAAAAACTATTTTGGTGATATAGTTACTAAATGAGTAATACTGGGCTTTTTACTAATATGTAAAAGCTATTTTGGTAATATAGATAACGTATATATAAAACAAATTCGATGGATGCAAGTAATATTCACCTTATTCACCTTAATCAGATGTGAAGGAGATTAAGAGCTTCTATGGAGAGTTAGGAGATATAATGAGATCGAGAGAGAAGATATGTGGTTATTAGAAATGAACAATTATGATGGCAATTTATAGGAAAGAAGAAGAGAAAGCGTTTACTAAAAAGAGAAACAGATGCAGGTAACGTGATCGCCTGCTTCTTCTTGATTAGTTAATTTGCAAGTGATCCATTTGGGTTTTAGTCTATATTTAATATCTTGGTTAGCCGCAAAACAGAAGCTTGTGTTTTAATTATATAAAATCGGACCTGTTATATACCAGTAGTACCGTAACACATGCCGTTTACATATTTTAACCAAAAATCATGACACGCATCAACAAAATTAATTTCTGGATTATTATACAATATCAATAATTTGTATCAAATAATATAGTTTAAGTACTTGTATTCCGGTTTCATCAACTTTTTACATCGATTTACAGAATGGAAATTTTTAATATTTCGATGATCTAAAAATAGAAAGGATAGTAACTTGACGAAGGTATAGTTCCTTAGAAAAAACTTTAATAATTTTATTGGTTTATATTATATTTCTTACATCTAGTTAGGATTTAGGGCCATATTCGAGGAGGTGCAAAAGAGATATTTCTGCACAGAGTCAACAGCAAAATAAGAAAAGCTATACATATTTACAGTTCAAATTAACATTTTTTTGTCCACAATATTTTCATAGAAATAGGACCAATATTTAAAATACTGAACAAGGCCAACGATATTTTTGAGTTTTATTGAACTGGCCATACATCTAATAGATTTTTAGATGGTTTATATAAAAAATAAATTTTTAAAAATGTATATATGTTACAAAACTGTATCACTAAACATGTCTAGTTTCTCAAATACTCTTACATAAATATATATATATATATATATATACACTGAATTACGAATGTGTATCTAAATTACTTCACCACATCCCTAGTATGTGTAACATATTTTAGCAGCAACTAAAAGATTTTGACTTAATTAGAACTCTAGATAAAAAAAAAAATCTTCATATATAACTTAGTATGTAAATTTAATGAAGAATCTTGCAAAAGTTTAATTGTGTTGCCTGACATTAGGAATTACACTTAGAAGTCAGATCCGTCTTAGTTGTTATCTGGAGACAGAATGATAAGGAAAAATAAGAACATGATTAAAGATGTGCATCCCATTTAAGTAATTTAGACACGATTTTCAGTTTGTAGTTTGTTTCATACATACATGACATTATCTTTTCTTTTTACAGAAAGGCATTTACTTGTGACCATTGACCAATTATATATATATATATATATATATATATATATATATATATTTATGTTTGATTACAGATTTACGATTATTGCTATTTCAATATTAAAATGCATATTTTCTTAAATATTTGATGATAGAGTATTACAACGGTCTTAATATTTGTCGTTTTGTGTGCAATGTGAACTACAAGTTATTTTAATGCCAAAATAATCGAATGGTTTCGAGTTTCTCCATCTTAATTTCTTTTTGTAGTCGAATCGTTCAACTCTAATAGTTGACATTTGAGAAATGACAATCTGGATACATATGGTCATGAAGATTGATTATCATTTAGCAAAAGTCAAAATTATTATTAAAATAAAGCATATTCGAAAAACATAGGATATTCGGAAGAACATAGGCTGATATATTCAATTTAATATATAAATTCACGTCTTAGTAGGCTTGGGTCTATCATATATCCATAGTAAACATTTTTAAACCAATCGATCCAACTCAGACCAAATATATACAAGTGTGTGTTATATGATTTAATTTAAATTATGTGTTTTTAATAGTTATATTGTAAAACTTATTTTGAGATAAAAATGCTTTATTAGGTGACTTCAACTATATGTACAAATCAATGATTTTAACGGTTTTATATGTTAAGTTGTCAATTGTCATGCAAGAGGTGGACATGTATATAAACCAAATATGAACATAATAAGGAAATTAATAGCGTGTAATAGAAATAAGCAATCAAATCAATATAACAATGACCACCAAGTATCGATTGATCACATTTTGTCACACAAAAAAACAAAGTAGAGGCGCACCATTACAAATAACACATCACGCATCGCAAAAAGAAAGTAAACTGTAGACAAAGATTTTAATTAATCGGAACCAATAAAATAATTGAAAATATGAAGGTGTGATCATTTCTCAACCTCAGTCTCACCGGAGAGCTCTTCAAGGGACTTACCCTTGGGCTCAGGGACAAGGAAGGTGAAGAGCATACCGACAAAGTTAATGACACCAAGCATGATCAATGAGTTCTTAACTCCGATGCCTGGTGGATATCCTGCGTCTGTCTTGTTCTTGTCTTGTGGCTGAGCTGCGTAAAGGAACCCGAAAGCTCCCACGATGGCTCCAGCCTTACCTGTCGCGGCTGATATTCCGTGGCATGTTGACCTTAGCCTGGCCGGGAAAATCTCAGCTGGGACAATGAAAGTGGTAGCATTTGGTCCAAAGTTAGCGAAGAAAAAGGTGAGGGAATACATAACCACGAATCCAATACGGTTGTCCGGTTTGATCCAATGGTTGTAAGGAAAGGCAATGGCAAACATAAAAACTGTCATCATGAAGAATCCCATCAGCTGGATGGCAAATCTTCCCATGATATCGATAAACGCAACCGTGAACCAGTAACCAGGGACAGTACTGCAGAGAGCGATGAGAGTCTGAGCCCTGGCAATCATGAAAACCTCATGGATTCCGTTCATGGTTGATGCCTTTGGGATCCATCCGATAGCCGAGAAGATATCCTTTTGGAACAAGTTTTGGCTGTAGAAGGCAATGTCAAGCAAGAACCAAGTGGATGTACATCCGAGGAGAGGAAGACCATGACGTTTGGCGAATTCCTTGGAGAACAAGCCATAGTTTAATCTCGGGTCTTTAACGATATCCTCAGCTCTTTCTTCCATCTCGAGCTCAACTTGTAAGACCTTGGACATGTCTTGTGTTGCTTGTTTGATGTTCTTGGCCACCAAAGCGGTGTAACGAGCGGTTTCAGGCATCTTCATACGCCAGTAGTAAGTCAAGGCTGCGGGTAAAGCACCAAACATGACGATGATTCTCCAAATGTAATCAGCTTGAGGAGGTGTTGATAGAGCCCTGTCGACTGCATAGGTTGGTGCAGGAAACTTCTTGTCGAAAATGGAAGAGACGGCAAGTGCCACGAAACCTCCGGCTAAGATACCGATACCTTGCATGGCGAACACGGCAGCGATGAAAGCACCACGTGTCTTCTTGTTAGCATATTCAGACATGATGGTTGCAGAAAGAGGGTAGTCACCTCCGATACCGAATCCCAACCAAAACCTAAATAAAATCGTAGTATACGTTAGAATATATTATATTTTGAAAACATATATTAGATTTAAACCACACTAATCTTCAAAACATGCAATATATGATGATAAATTTTACCTGAAGAAGCAAAGAGTGGTCATTACACCTTGGGCTGTGTCACCGAAGGAGAGACCGGAAGCAACCGAGCACACAATCATCATGATCAAAGTGATACCGTAAACTTTCTTCCTTCCGAGCTTGTCACCGAGCCATCCGAAGAAGAGTTGACCAGCAAGGGTCCCACAGAGAGCCACACCGTTGACTGCAGCCGCAACGTGAGGGGGAAGTGAGCCAGGCTTGTCTGACAACGGATTGAAGTAGTAGAGGCGGCCAAGAAGCTTGGTCACCAAGGAGACACAGAAGAGATCGTATGCGTCTGTAAAGAAACCCATACCGGCGATGACGATCGCCGTGAAATGGTAAAGTTGCGTTTTCGCAACATCGAGTGCCTTTAGCACTCCTAGTTGTTGTTCGGCCATCTCAGCTGTGTTTGTCTCTCCTGCTTTCACGCACTAAATGTTAATAATTTTATATAAAATATATTTCTGCAAATATGAATGGCAAATGTGAAGACATTCTGATCCTCCTGGCGGATAGGAGAAAACACTAGTTTGACTTTCTAATTTGGGGCTTCACGACCAAAAGAAACTAAAGACAGAGAGAAATGCAGGTGTTTAATAAAGAGGCAACATGTTAGATAACTAATCACTAGATTACAGTATTACACACGCTAAAAATTGGTGTCTATAAATCATAAGTAAATTCTCATACAAATCCTCACCTTCTCGTTAAGTTAGTAGCGAGAAAGATTGATTTGGTGAGAGAGATTAAAGAGACGGTATTGGTGGTATATTGGTATGAGTGCAGAAATGTTAGGGAATTTATAGAATGGATTGCTGAACAAAAAGAAAAAAAAATTGTGGGAATTTTATTAGGTATATACTCATTTGACAACAAACTGGGTATGTCCTCTCTTGTTATTATTTTTTTAAAACCCCATATATTGTAAACAAAAATAATTTAATTTGATAATACCATTCCATATTTTTTGTGCTATTTTCTAAATTTTAAATTTTGTGTGCTAGGTTGATAACAAAAACTAATATTGTACTATTTTGGGCTATTTCTCTTAAAAAAAAGACATTGGAAACTTACATGGAACACCACCATTTTTTTCTCACCATCACTTCTAACATATATAATTCCTAAGAATTTCTTATTTATTTAATTGTCTAAGCATTTCAATATATTAGATGTTTTAGCAAAAGCAAAAGAATTAAGAAATCTATTTTTCTTCAGAAATTTCATTTAATGTATGAATTAAATACAATTCAAAACAAAATAATATAACTCGTCACATATTATTCAATAATTTTAAAGCTGAATAAAATATGAGAATATCTAATAATTTGAAACAAAAAAACAATCTCTAAAACATCTAATGCTTTTGTTGCAAAATATAAGTTGTTTTAAGCGGTTGCACACATATTAAAAAAGTATATTCAAATTTCTCTTATATCCCTCAGTAATATACTATATAATTTTCTCTCTCTTATACTAATAAGATTAATACATGCATTGAAAACTAAGAACAACTTATATTTTAAAACAAAAATAAATTCTAAAACAACCTATATTTTGAAACGAAAGAAGCATCAAATTAAAACAGAGGAAGCATATTTCCGA